TCATTTTTCGTCTGGGGTTAAAACCCTGAATATCCATTTCACAGGAGTTAATAAACATTAATTTATGTGCTTTCTAAATTAAAAAAATTGTCTGCGAACATGGCCAGAGGAGGGGCAATCGCCCCTCCTCTCCTCTGCCTTACCCCCCTCTTCGTAGCTCGGCGCCTGGGCCCCTCTAGCCCGTGGGCCCCGGTGCAGTCGCACCGTCTGCACATTCAGTAGCTACACCACTGACTACTCGTGAATTAGTGAAATCATTCAGAGGCTTTTCAGAGGCTTGGGGTCCACGCCCGAGTTGTCTCGTGTTGGCCTCATGATGAGGGATGGGAAAAACTTGGATGACACCATTGACTTATCCAAAGTACTCGGACCCCAAAGGGTTAAGCGCAAATTCGTTTTCCATCACAGTCTCACCGTTGTTTCTACGAGGAGTTATCCACATCATATCAACAGAAAATAGGTTCTACGAATCGACACGAGATGGCGCCTAACCGCCGATTCAGGGATTCTTATCCTGGTGCCCTGACATAAACAGTACCCTGTCTATTTCATGCAGAACCCGATCTCTTCCCATGTACAACATCAGGGAAGGCTTAGGAATTTCTTGATAGACCTGTTTAAGGAGGTAACTCGGCAAAAGGAGACTCAAAGTACTTCTGGCCAGTGGGTCCGAGGAGACATGCTCTATTTTCCTAAATCTTCACATGACAGCTGTACTCTACTAGGGCATTACCATAGAGCATATGCGTAGGAAAATATTTCCCGGTGGTTGTTTCTCTTCACTGGAGGGCTAGAGTAATGTCATATAAGTACTCAATTCGAATTCTGATCCAATAAAAGGAAATAAAACCATAGAATAGAGAGTGCAACATCATAGAGTAGACAGTGTAACTAGAGGCGACACTCCGCTCGAATTCATTCATTGACAGGGTCACAATATAGAGGTCGCTGTCGATCCTCCACGTAGCGTGCGCACAACAACAACTCTCCTCCATGGCCGAGCAGCGGACTCAACGAGACACACGTGTTACGTATCAACGTAACACGTGGATCCCTTTGGGTCGAATCCCCGAATGAGTCGATTCCTGATTCCGCTGCCACGAAGCACACCTCAAGGAAGTGCTGTTGATAAAATGCCGCCAGATGTCTCTGCAATATTTCGACCCTCCCCTACCCCTCGGAGTGTCGCCTATAGTTAGACTCTATACTCTATGATACTACCGTATGCAGCATTCGATCGGCGCATGCGCAGTGCATCTTGAGAAATTGTTGAGACTTGTCTCATTTCAACGTTGTCAATGTTGATTCCATATTTTATCAATTTTCTTCAACACTGACTCAACATTGTGGATGTTGAGACTTCAATGCTTTTACAACGTTGTATCAACATTGATGTGCAGACTGGGATGCCCGTACTTTGACAATTCAACATTGACGCAACGTTGCACAGCAGCAACTTTTCTACGTTGAACTGTGTTTTCTTTCAACCTTTTCACAACATTATGGCAACATTGTTACGTTGAAAAATCAACTTTTTCTCAACGTAGACACAACGTTGTTGTGCCGAATGGAAGGGGTAGAGGAAGAGTTTAGGAAGTCTGAATCCCCCCCCCCCCCCCTCCAAACCCATGCTCATGATAGATATCTCAGCTCCTCCATGCGTCCCCCACCCTCGGAAGAGGGTGGGGGACGCAGAAAGATAAGTTTATTTGTGGCTTTCTTTTCAGATATCGAATGTGCTTTTATCGTTTACATGGTTTAAATCCGTTTTCACCATTTAATATAATTATGTTTAGTTTCATATTCCTTGTTCGCGTGTTCGACGAGGTTTCGCATTTTTTTAAATTGTGAATAGATCTCTTCTGATGATGGCAAGGCATTTAAAAGCCATCGATCATGAGAATGCCTCGATGTACAGTATTATCACTGGGTCAAGAGCATTCCAGCTAAGTTACATGCGTACACTGTGATAGGAGTGGGTAACTTGAATCAAATTTCGAATGAGACCCGTAGTCTTTGTTTCGAAAATTTGAATTGTATTAGTACCCGTAGGCAGATGGGTCAACCTACCTGAAATGTCGCACCTTTGCCCTTAAGAAAAATGCATCGAAGCTAGTGTGCGCATTTAATGCATAGCTTAAGAACCATCCATGAGCTTTTTTCAACGAGCCATATCTGGTATCCACGAAATCAATAAGCCAGCGGTTCTCAAACTTTTCGAACTTGCTGTTCACCTTAATAACTGCAAAGCAATCCGAGGCCCACTACAGACTGAAAAAGCTACATAACTTTTGTTCGTCTAACTGTTAATTGTTATTTTTTAATTTACGGATACTCACCACAGCCCCACCACGGCACCTCTGCGGCCCACCGGTTGAGAACCACTGCTCGAAGTGATTTTTAAGATTTATTGAAAATCCTTTTGGTAGTTAGATGGAAATCGAATTAAACTTATCTAACCAGACACCCAGATGTGCATTACTTGCTCAGTTTCCCTTCCCGTATGGACTTTATTATGTGGGAGATTCCATGTTGGAGAAAGGCTGATGCAAAAAAATAACCATAGGGGGAGTAGGCTCGACGTCGAGATTCTCTTGAAGCAAATGTTATGACCAAAGCCTCTGTTCGAAAGGCAACCCCACACATTGACCTTGGTGGGGTGCTCTACTGTTCGGGCGGCTTTTTTTTTTACCGTCAGATACCAGACGCGCCCTTTCACCCGGTTCAGACGCACCGTTGTCTCATCCGAGATCACCTGGTCCCAATCGGCAGGCAGGTGGGCTTCAGCCCATTTCAAAAGTTTGGTTCCATTGGTCTTCAGTGAACAGTGGCTTGGACATCGGAGGACTAAATTTCGCCCCTGCTTCATTCGATCGGCACCGAATGGTAGTTTGACTGATCTCGATCTCTTTCCTCTTCGAACGGTTCTCGATGTCGCGACTCATTGCGAACATTTCTCGATTCGAGAGAGAAAGAATCCGTTCATCCTGTTTTGCCGTCGTTGTACGCCGTCGGCCGGAACGAGTCAAATCGGTCAGATCTTTGAATTCCTTCCATCGATCGAGCCGATACTTCGTCCTATTGTCACACTCGACCGCTCTCACTACAGCATTCAATCCCAGCTTCGGATCAACGGATGGCAATGACCTCGTAACGCTGATGGATGGGTAAAGTCTCACAAGTGCCTGTCCCAGAATGTTCCAAAACTTTCTAGGGGGGAACGACGACTCTTGACGAGTACTGTAGTTAATTTGTCCTGAGATTTTGGTTTCGCAACAGCCAGCATACTGCGGTTCATTCGATATAGCGTCACCCGCGTTATAGCGCTAAAATCTATGACGACCAACAATGGTGTTATATTGAGAGTTCCCTGTATATCCCAACAAGAATCAAGCTGAGTCGAAACGGGTTCAGAGATCAAGCAAGCCTGGCTTTTGTGTTCCATGAGTATTTATGCTGTCACCATAAGCAATTAGAACAGAGCATGTGCGTTTCCTTTTACCTCAATAAATTAGCCGAGCTAGGCTTAGGCTTAGGCCGCACGCAAATTCGAATTCGAATGGAAACTACGACACATTTCTGAATAGCGGAACCTGCACGGACATCGATTAAAAAAAAAATAGTGTTCGTTTTGTTGACTCATTCACCTTACACATATAGCTGTGATGTTGGAGAAGAAGGAACAAGATATTTCAAGCAAAATTTCCCGTCAAATTACTTTGAACGAAACAGGAGAGGTCAGTGTAATTTGAAGCCACGCATGCCATGAGTTCTGGACTTGTCACCCGGCATTGTGGTCATCATTTGCGCATCGATGCGAGTTGCATATTTGTAAACGAGATCCCGTTTACAAATACCAGTAAGTCTCATGGTTCATGAGCAACTTTAACAGCGAGAGGGCGCTGGGGTACGTACATCAACGCCATATCCTCAACCGGACTTGCACAACTGCTTTGATGAACTCTTTCTTAAAACTTTGAATGAATTCTACGTAGCTTTGTTAGCCCCAATCTGTACCCAAATCTTGGGAAGAGTGATTTATGATAATTCTGCTTTTCTCATGGAAGAGACTGGTCAGTCTTTCAATGATATGAGATTGCTGGGGGGTTAGGAAATTTATCACCTCTAATTCAATTAAATATTAAACATTAAATATTATCAATCATTAAATATCTTATTCATTCCTGTTTTATTGCTTGAAAATATTTCCTGCGTTTTATGACGTATATCCTGTTTTAGTTCTCAAACTACTGTGGATGCATTGTCCAAGGCGGAGTGGAAATCATATGTTGGAATTGTTCTGATTCGAGGCATGGTGTAGTGAGTTTGGTTTTATGCTCCCCAGCGGCGTATTTTGGCTGAAAGGTCAGGGGGGGCAGGGCAACAGAGTGGAGACGCCAAACCCCACCCGAGTCATATCAGGGGAGAAAGTTATTACCTTTAATAACTGCTTAAACTGCTTTCTTTGCCCCCCCCCCCCCCCCCCCCCCCCCCCCCCCCNTAAACTGCTTTTTTCCCCCCCCCCCCCCCCCCCCGCCTTAATCCGACCCTGGTTTCAACCTTCCCATTCTCATGGAAATCCCTTTTTTTTCTTTTCAACAAACGCTGGGAATTTTTTCCTGTGACAACTTAGGCCAGGATGAGTTCCCTCGTAGTGCGACAGTAAAGGAAGAGTGCACGAGACCCCGCCATACGCCTTATTCGTTTGACCAAAAGTTGTCCTATGGCAAGCTGGAGGAGTGTTTGAAATCCGCTAAATGCACTATGCTCTGTCGATTTAAGCCTCTTTGCGAAAGGGGGCTATCAGCTCTATAGAAGAGGCTCTTCCCCGGTCAAGGGAAAGGTAGGAGGAAAATTCGCCTGATTCTCATTGAAAAAATGGAATTAAAATGAATAAACGAAGGAATTTTCCGTGCAGAGAATATTTGTGCAATCATGCGGAAGATGGCAAGCTGTTAGGCAAGGCCAGAGAACGAATGAAACGAACGTGCTCTCTCAAGATGTCGCCCGTGTTGGCACTTTCTGGATTGCCACCAACGAGCGTACAGTTGACACTTGGCAGTTTGAACATTGATGTCTCTATTGATCCCGATTTATTTCCAGCACAGGCCTGTGGGATGAGATTAGTCAAAGACTCTTGTTATAAGATTATTATTAGATAAATCACCCCGTCAATAGCCTAATTCAGACCTAGGTCTAGAGGATTGACCATGGGCTTAACGTTAGGATAGGTTTACCTGTTGTATATGTTGACCAGTAGGCAAGCCTAAGGCTCCCCGTCTTTTTTTAAATTTTCAAATATGCTTTGCAGGATTTCATGAAAAACTGTACAATAAATGTAAACATGTAGCATTGCTTTCGTCCATAGGAAAATTATGATGTACCAGAGAGATATACGTTAGGCAGTTTTGGCGGCTACTTGCTTGGTCTGTATGAATTGCTCCTTGCAAGTAGTGGATGTGAATGCGTTCAGCATCTTTTGGATATGAATATTTTTAATCAACAGAATAAACAGGGTGGTAGGTCATGGACATGCATGAGTGCAGCTGTTCTGTAAGTAGTCCTATTCTTACATCACCATGCCATACTTTCCTCTGTCTTTTTTGTTAAGCCACTAGAATTTCAGTTACTACTTTGAAAGTTGCCATTTTATGCCATCATCCAATGAATGGCAAATCCTTCTCAATTTCATACCTGATCCATGCATGTATAACTTGAATGCTTGGGCTAAAGGTATCAGCTGCTGCTTTTTGGTTCTCTATTGAATATAACCAATCCCCCTTTAGTTTATTTCTAGCATCAAAGAAGCTGTTCTTCACAATCCCTTTGAGATTTTGATCATGAGATCATGAGCATGAACACAAAATTTGTCAGCCCTCACATACATCAGATATGAAAAAAACATATATCAGTTGTAGGGTGCCTTGAAGAAATTGTTTGACAGAACTAGGTGTTCATGCACAACATATTATAGGAGTTCCCTCAGTAATATGTTAAAATGTGAGCATGATTTCCCACCAGTTTGGATTGATAAATATGAATTGTAGAAATGAAATACATGCTCTGTCATATTTGTTATGCCTCACCAGTGAAGTTGCTGCCTACCTAAACCTAAATGTCCTCTATAAGAACAATTGGCCTGAGTTTTTATATATGGTGTCATCCTATGGCAATTGATGTCCATAAACCAGAGTCATTCAAAACTTTTGCTATAGTAGTCTTGTATAAAACTAGTTCCAAAAATATCAGACATTTAATTTTTTGTTCAATATTCATTCAATAACTGTAGCCTGATCAGCACAAAGTCCGTGAAATGCTTTGGGAGGTGAAATTCTTTGATTGGAGGTTGGCCAAAGGGATTTAGTATGATCCAGGCTTTGGACCTCTATGGTCAGTGATTCACAAATAATTGTTGAGTTCATGCCAAAGGGTTGCCATTTGGCCCTCTTGATCCCAATCTGCATCTGCAATGTGATATCTTGGAGTAGAGTTTCAGAGATTACATCATGTAGTAGCTTATGAAAATAGCAGAAAAGACATGGGGTCACTATGTTCATGGCAATATGGTGCTATCCTGTCCATGTGCTGTGCAATCATTTTGTCACTACCTTCCTCACTTTTCTTTCCTTCTTCTTTATAGACTGTTGAAAGTATACCCATAGAAAATGTATGAAGTTTTGCACTAAATAATCAGAGAGTAATGTCTGTAATAGAAGCCTAGGCTATCATTAAGGCCACTGTGGCATGGTCATTAATGGATATTATGATTAAAAGAGATCCTTCATTTATGTTTCCACTGCTGATGTTGGTCTTTTACCTCATTTGAGCTAGACTTGCCTATATTCTATGTATTTTAGCCAGCTTGGACTCATTGTAAACATTGTGCTTAGTTTCAGCCATGCCTAAATGTCATGTTGTCACTTGCATTTCAGATGTTGCTTTCTCATTCATGATAATAAATATTGAGGGCCTAGTTCATTTTGAGGCCAGTCCTCCCCTGCTGGGAATGGGCCTTTAATTTTTTTTATAGTACAGTATAAACATGGGGACTCAAGATCATGCTCAAGCCAGTAGTAATTGAAGGATTTGACCCATAGCCCCATTCTAAGCTGCCTAATACTAGGCCATGGCCTAGGCAATTTTTGAACTGGCTTTATTTGGGCTTGGGCAAGTGACAGGACTGAGTGAAGATGGCTGAGGGATTCCAAGGCAGTCCTGGAGGGGCAAATGCGGGAGGAAAAATCCAGCACATGACACCCACTTCATCTCTTTCACGCTTCCCTCTGCTGAAGGAATGTGCCCATTTCCACTATGAGACTGTGGAATTGAGCAAAATAAAGGTATGTTCTAAGGAATGTCTATGAAATTGACATATAAGTCAGGTGTGTTACATTGTGTAGTCCCTTTGTGCCATTAGGTCTTCTAAGTTCTATCCTTGAATGCAATAATTTGAATTTTGAAGAACAAAGATTACACTATTTATATATTTTTCATCCTCTTGGTTTATTGAGCAGGTATCCTGGAGTGATGAAGATTTGAAGCCATTGGCTCTACCAGACTCTATGGAGTGCACAAAATGGTTCCATATCAAAGTCACAAGTGGTGAACGGTCATGGATTCTTCGCCGTTCATGGGATAACTTTGTCATGCTTGATGAACAACTCCATCAATGCATTTACGATAGAAAATTCTCTCAGTTACAGGATCTGAAGAGTATTAATCCTGAACAAGATATGGAAGAGGTATGAGCACTACCAGTTTCTTTGTATGTTAAGCAAAGAATGTTCAATTTTGTTGAACTGATAGTGTCTAGTTGCCAAAAACAGCACAAGATGCCTTATCTTTTCATTATGAATTCAATTTCCTAAGTACTTGCTCCCTTGCTTATGGGGTCATGCTTGCAATTCTTCATCTATTTTGTTTGCACCAAAGGGTGTTCAAGTTTTAGTCATGTCATTGTTTTAATTCTTAAGCAATTCCTTGGAAAAAATTGTGTTTGAAACATTTGTCCATATGTATTTTTTTTGTTCAGATAAGTGCCAGCAGTTTTATGCAACCCATGTATGCACTACAGTACATCACAAATACTAACATGATATAATTGCTATTTTCTAAATGTTATTGGAGTTAATACTTGCAGAAGGAGAAGCACTATGATAAAGCTATAGATAATTTTAAAAAGTTGTGAAAGTAACTTTTAATTAGATAACAAGGGAAGCAAAAGCTTAGAATTCCAATGGCACCTATAGGGCTAGCTTATTGGGTGGTTCATGCCTAATGAATGCTACATAGGAGCTTAAGTTAAAGTAGACTCACCTTTTTGTTTCGCTTGATGTGCCAGTCCCTTTCTTGAATGGATGCCTACAAGTTTCCTGGACTTTTTATTGCAGGCATGCATGTTGAAAAATGTGTGTCTGGGCAAACTCTAATGTCATTGCTGTCCATCAAACTCATGCCAGTGATTTTTAATTAATTCTCATAATAAACAAAATGAAGATCTTTATCAGTCGTGAAGTCATACCACAAAAATCACACCAGATTGAGATATATAATATCCTCTCTATTTTGGAACTTGTGGATCAGGATAATGTTCCTAAGGCATTTTTAAAGGTTTCCTATTGGTAGGTGAATGCCTTAAGCATCTTGTAATTTGGTACTTGATGACAATAAGTAATATACCATTGTGATTAACCATTGATGCATCGAGTGTAGACAAAAACTAAGACAATTTTCCTTAAGTATCATGTCTTACTCCAGTATAGGTACTCTTACATTTTATAAGGCACACACATCTGCTGGGGTTATTTTAGTGCTTCCCAGAAACACTTTTCAGGTGTTGTTGGTATTACTTCTGTATATGTGACTGAAAAAAAGAATTCATCCTCATTTAAATTGATTCTGCATGTTTTGGTCAAAAGTAGGAGACTTGACAACTTTAGAACAAAACTTGTAAAACTTGAGTACTTTTCAGTGGTTTCCATCCATTCTGAGGACCAGTGTACATCTATGTTTGAGTGAGATAGCATACCTGATACATGAAGATTTCTTCATTACTTCACTGCTAATACTCTCCCAATACTGATCCAGTACAGGAAGTGCTCTATAAAACTGATCCACTATAGGCAGTACTGATGATCCCATCAGTAGATCTGTTAAGATGATAAGTTTTTTTTTATCTCATCTTTCAAAATGTATTCCATAGAACTCGATATGATGATGGGATTTGAGGCTTTTGCAGCTTTTTTTTGGTTCTTTCAGGTATTATTGTACACAGGAATGAGATGTTTGTAGCAGCATCAGGGTTTTGTTCTCATAACTCCTGTCCTAGCTTTTAGGAATGGAGCAGTAAAGCCCCTAACAATTTGTAATCTTAGTGCCAGGGAAACCCATTGTACCTCTTATGTGCAAGTAGATTCAGTAGGTTTTACTGATATGGTGAACTGTGTTTCATCACTAAAAGCAGATTTTAACCATATATTCAAATATCCTGTTGTAATGAGCTCTCATGGATGAAACTTCAGGGATTTGGAGACCTCAGAGATTGTACTGCTTGCAGATTCCATATTGAGGCCCACCATGCTCTTCTGGAATGAAATTCCTACTTCTGACTTTGTTTCAGGCTCTCCTATCTTCCTACCTGGCTCAATTCAGTGGCTTGATTGGGAACATGGTGACTTGTGGACCTGTGCTGAACTGGTTGGAGTTGGATCCAAAGGGTCATCGGCTTCTTGTCGCAGATGATAGTGCCATCAACACTCCTGCTATTGCTGCAGCCATTGTTGTGACTCCCCATTCAGCTCAGGCTCATGATGAACTATCACTTCAGGTACCTGTTTTGTATCTCTTGGCTTTGAATGCATGCTACGGCTGAGTCGCTATTTGAGTGATAAAGAAGGGTAAAAATGCACAAGAATGCAGTGTTCTGGGAGCTGCTTACTCTTTGCATTAATTAAATGTCAACAGTCTCTTTATTCTATTGTCTTTCACTGTTTTTTAACTCTGCTTTTGAGTGTAGTTTTGGTTGTATCTATGTCTATATCCTCTTTGCAGATAGGTGATATGGTGTCTGTGATTGACATGCCATCTTCGGATGAGTCCATTTGGTGGAGAGGCAAAAGGAACTATGAAGTGGGGTTTTTTCCGTCCAGCTGTGTTGATATCATTACTGACAAGGCCATCCCACCCTCCATCCTCCCAAGACTGCAACCCATTGAGGAGGCACAAGGGAAACCCATATTCAAGAAGCATGGGAAACTCATATCATTCTTCAGGTGCTTCTGCATATTCTGCAGCCTGGAAGCCATTAACCAACTTCCAATACCAAGTTAATCATGCATTGCTTGTGTCTTTTGCTTTTTATTGCAGGAACTTTCTCCTGAATCGTCCCTCTCGTCGAAAGTTGAAAGAATCTGGGATTTTGAGAGAGAGGGTATTTGGCTGTGATCTTGCAGAGCATCTTTTGAATTCAGGACATGATAGTAAGTTTAATCCATTGCATGAGCTTCATTTGAGCATCCTTTCTTGCATTTGTTGAGGAATCCCTTTTCTTTCTAGTTCCAGTGGTCTTAAGGTGCTGTGCAGAATATATTGAATCCAAAGGGATAGTTGATGGCATTTACCGTCTCTCTGGAGTTAACTCTAATATCCAGAAGCTCAGGTGGGTACTTAACATATTCTTGTATGGCTAAGTTGCATTGTCATGCTAGTCTGGATTGAAATGACTAATTTATGCTCCACAGAAATTCATTTGATGAAGATACAATTCCACCCCTTTGGGATGATGAAAGTATCAGACAAGACATTCACAGCGTTGCATCTGTGCTGAAAATGTACTTCAGGGAACTGCCAAATCCTCTACTCACATATCAGCTCTATGGGGACTTTGTTTCAGCAATGCAAGGTCCTGAAGAGACAAGACTTCTGAGGCTTCGTGCTGCTGTTCAAAAGCTGCCACCACCTCATTACAGGTGATGTACAGGAACTAATTGCTCCACTGGTCCCCCCATATGTGTACATTTTTGTTTTTAGGAGAGAATGATGATAGTTATTTTTGGTTGTTATAGAACTCTGGAGTTCCTCATGCATCATCTCAGTCGAGTGGCAGGACATGGGCAAAAGACAAGTATGGGTGCACGAAATTTAGCCATTGTTTGGGCTCCTAATCTCTTGCGGTGCAGGACACTATTTGAAGATAGCAGTAACCTTGGGCTTGGAGCACTGCAAGGGGTGGGAATCCAAGCAGTTGTGACAGAGGCTTTGATTCGATACATGGAGTTGGTCTTTCATGATGGCCCTATTGCTAATGACTCAGGTAAGAAAGTTTCTGATATAGAAGTAGTAGACTGGAACAAAGTTCTCACCATGACAATGGAATTTCTTTTTGGCTTGAAGGAGACAATAGTTGTGGCACTCCAGCTAGGAGGGTGCGGCCTCGCTCTCTTGCCATATCAACTCCAACAAAGTTACTGACACTGGAAGAGGCCAGGGGGAAAGTCCAGGGACTTGGAATTCCACCAGATCAGAAATACATAGAAGTTGGTATGTGTTCCTTCAGGAATTCTGGTAATCCCTGCACCCAGATTAAAACATACAAATACTTCTATTTAAAATTTTATGAACTTTTGCATTTGACCAAACAGGTGGAGGTACTGCAAGCCTACCTTTAAAATACCATACTGTGCTGGAGCTTCCTCAGGGACACAGGAGGAGAAGTTCTTCGCTGCGACTTAAGCGATCTGCATGGAGGCTATTTTGGCGATCAAGATCCTCCACTACTGCTAATGTGAAGAATAAGAGGTCCTCCAGTGGACCAACATGTGCTCCTGCTTTGCATCTTCAGGTAAATCTACTGTCAAGTATCATTTTCTTTCCCTTTTGTGAGTCTTATAAGCCTTTGTGAACTGAAACATGATTTCAGTTGCAAATTATATTCATGCATCATTTTTCAGGAGCAAGCAATTACAGAGTCAGATATCTCAAGGAGAGGCAGCAAGAGACTTCGTCCTGTCAAATCTTGTGAATCACTGGTATCTGGTTCAGGTTCCAATCGAAATTCAGCTCTTGTGGAAGGTCAGTCCAACAATTCTTCTGTAGCAGATGAACGAATTGCATTGGCCTCCATTGAGAACCATCAGTCACTCTTCCGAGAAGATTCCCTCTATCGAGATTCCAAATCCCATAGCAGAACTGTCTCTCATGATTCCTACTTCAAGAGCCTGCCTTTCTCATCAGCCTTCAATGAAGAAATGATAGAAATAAGGCACATGCTTTTTGGGGAAGAAGAGGATGAACCCACTTGCATGCAAGACACGAGTGAACTCTCACTCCCAAGTGACCTTCAGCGACCCTCTGAAGATGCAAAAGAAAATTTCAAGCACACATTCTCCCTTCCTGAAACTCACTTCTTTGGATCTCATCGCAGTCCTTTGGCAGACTGTAATGCACAGAAAAGTAATGGGAAGAAAAGAAGCACCCAAAGTTTGTTGGCATCATCTGGACTCTCACCAACATTGAAGCAGAGGAAACAAGCTCATCATCATAGTGTTCCGTGTGATCTCCATAGCCCACCCTCACAAGGAGGGATGGGTTTTTTCATATCCCCACCTGAGAGCCCATCATCCATGACAGAGAAGACCAAGGACATTAGCTTTGAAAGTGAAGTAGTATCTCGATTTCTGGCTGATTTGGGAAAGCCAGAGAACTTGTTCAGGTTTCCCCTTGCCCGAAATTTCAGTGATATAGAGGAAGTTAGCCCTTCAATTGAAAGGCAGTCAGAAGGCAGGAAGGGTAGAGATATAGAGCCCATCTATGATGTGCCTGTTACATCAAAAGGTATAGCAACACCAGAGTCTCCCTCTCCTTATGCAAATCCTTTTGCAAAAACTGGTTCTACTGCCAACAGTCTCATGTCAAGTGGAAAGACTAAAGTCAAACAAGAGCAGGATCCTGCCAATTCCTATTCAAATGCATTCTGTGATACACAGGATGATAATGGATGTGCTGCTGTCTCTGATACAAATGTAGAACTGCTTCCCCTTCAGCATCATGACTTAAATGAAGATTCAGGAATTTCATATATCAACCTTATCCCAAGAAAGCAAGAGGAAGTGACATATGTCAACACAAATGAGCAGACATATGCCAATGTATCATCAAATGACCAGGATGACACATGGCCCATCATGTCTCATGGTGTCTATGAAAATTTTTCCAGCATCTTTGATCCCATCTATGCTAATGTCACTGTCACACCCGAGAAATCTCCTACACTTGATGTTGAAAATCTGGGGGTTCCAGCAGAGATCAATGATTCACAAAGTCCTGAGGGAATATATGAGAATTTGGATCTTCTATGCAAGAAGGGGGAAACTTGGCCATTGCATGACTCCATGACAGCCCCTCATGATGTGAAGTATGAGGTCATGCCTGAGAAGGTGAATGAAGCTTTAGGAAGAAGTGAAGAGAGTTCTGGAGAGGAAGCAGAACATGAACTAAGTGAAAAAGACAAACAGAAACCTGGGACCAATGAAGAGTTGAGACCTCAACCACAAGAAGTGACTTCAGAAGCTGTAATTCCTTTTCAGCAGAGGAAGATTTTTCCTAATCAGTCACCAAGACGGACACAGTCACAGCCAACATCTCTTCCCAGTAATTTCATCACCCCTCAGCAGTATCCTACCTATGACAGACAGGCCTTAAGCCTTCCCTTATCTTTTGATGGATCATTCAGGTCCTATCCATCAAAAACCACTCCATCACCAGTGCAAGAGGTGAGACGTCGATTTGAATCAGAAATTGGTCGAGACATTCTGAGAGAGAAGAGGGTGTGTTCTGAATTGGAGAGGTGCAAACCTTTAAAGGCACAACTGCATTCATCAAAGAGTCCAGTTGAGAACAAAGAGATTTCTCCTTCCATTGCACACAAGATGTCTCTTTATGATTCCTCTAAGCAAAGCTATGATGACCAATTGTCAGAGGGGAAGAGTACTACAGAAGAACCAGCTTCATTGAGGAAGTCTCCATTTTCAAGGAAAGGCTCTATTAAGGATTTGCTAAATAAGTTTGAGTGCCCTGAGAATGAACATCTGTCATTGGTAGATGTCTCAACAACCAGTAACATTAGGCAAGAAAAGGGTGAAAAAGGTGATGTGAAACAATCTTTGCTCCATGCAACCATCCATGACAAAAGCAGCTCTCTAATTTTATCACCTTCACTGCCCTTGGTAACTGCTAGAGAAACTCCAGCATTAATGAACATTGCTCAGAATGCTGTTTGCTCAATTGAGGAGGAGAAGCCCTCAAAGATCTCAATTCCATGTTCTAATTCAATGAGGAATGGTAGGAAGGAGGTTCATTCAAAAGAGCCAAGCAGAGTCTCAGAACTTGAGAAGGATGGAGATATGCAGATGCAAGCTCCTGAATCAGATGACAACAAGGAGAATGAAGAGGCAAAGAAGCGGGAGCGAATTGAGAAGTACAAAGAAGAGCGTCGATCTGCTCTCCGTCAGAAGTACAAAACTGAATCAAAAGGCACTGACAAGGATGGGCATGAGGTTGATATTGTTCAGCGTATAAAGCAGCGGATGTCCTCTTCTCAGGCAAAGCTCTCTGAAGATGAAAATCCTCCCGTTGAGTGTGAAGAAAAGATTGGACGCAGGAGGTCATCCAGTGCTTCCTCTTCAAATGATACAGCTGTTAAGAATGATACAGATAATGGGTCAATAACTGAAAAAAATCAAAAACCTGCAGTTTGTCCAATTGGAGAGAAAAGTGACAAGTCTCCAGTCAGAAAGTCCACTTCACCTCCCTCCAGATCCAGCCTCATGCCTCTCCATTCCCCTACCAGTCCTCAGAAAGTGGAATTTCCTGGGAAGCCACCCATAACCAGAAGGTCTTCTGGAGAGAATCCACGGTTGGAAAGACATGCCTATGGAAGGCATAGCCTTGGAAGATCTCCACCAGACAAACCGCCACCCATCATCGAACATCGAGTGAGTGCTCCTTCACCTCAGGATGTGCAGTCTCCAAGGAATGTACAGGTTCAGTGCGTGACTAGTCCCTTGGAGGAGGTGAGAGTGAAAGAACGAATTGCTCATTGGACTGGCAAGACACAGGGTGTTTCTAAATCTATGCCAGAGGAGCCCAAAGTTGAAAAAGTAGGAAGTGTTGTTCTGCGCAAGGCTGTTGTGATTGGAGGACGCTCTCAGGGTGCCAAGGAAATCCTGTACAGAGATCGAGTGGAGAAGAAAAGAAGTGGAGGAAATGATGTCAAGTCCATGGCATCTCTCTTTGAAAAATCAGTGAAAAATGGAGAGAATTAATGTAAGAATGGGCTTACCATTTGCCATCAGAAATTCCCCAGCCACTTCCACTTCCCCCTGATGCCCTTTCCATTTCTACAATTTTCTATCCAGTCCAATGACCACTCTTCCAAGATTGCCAAAGATTTCTGCCATCTCTGTGTTCTTCCATAAAAATGACACTGCAGACATACCTGTCTTCATGATTGCCTTTGAAATGTGAGACATTGCTATTTTTGTCCCATTTCATTACTTATCTTTACAGGAATTTCTCTATTTTTATCTATTGAGTATGGGTTGCAATTTATTTATTTGCCATTCATGTTGCCACTTCTTTTGCAAACAAAAGAATCTCACCCTGGAAATCTCACAGTGTTCTTGAATCCTTTTCTTAAATATGGTATCCTGGTGTGTTCTTCAGGTTTTTGTTCATTGTGACTTTTAGGTGCTTCAGTTTCACACATATGATATTTCCCGGTCTCTGTAAAATTTTGTCTTGTACGGGTGTTTTCTCCCCTGCTCCTTCCTACTCTTCTGGTTTTTATATTGATATTTTCTTATCTTTTTATCAGCTGTTCATTTTCAGGTTCTAGAGTCTGTTTTAAGTAGTATAAGGATTTGGTACCAAGTGTCTTGTGATCCTGTATTGTTTTTGTCTGGAGCCTGAAGCTGACATATCATGGGAGATCAACGTCTTACAGCTCTCCATCTGACCCCTACACATTCCCCAGTTGATAATAAGACTGCTTGTATTCTACTAACCTTTCAATTGCGCATTATGCTGTATCTGTTAATTTCATTTTTTCTCCTAACCTCATCATGTACTCGGTGCTTGTTGTTTCATGTTCTCTGAACAATGATCAACTTTCTATGATGGTGGATGAGGATTGTAGCCTATTACATTTTGGAAGGCAGATGTGGCCACGTGTACAAAAGTTCATTCACTTTTTCACCTTGAAATTCTTCCTCCCAACCACAAGTAGTAATGTATTTTCTTAATTTACGATCATTTTATCTCTTGTGGATTTCCTGATCCAAGGATGAAAGACTAGAATCTCCACTTTTCCAGTTGCTCCCCAATTGTAAATGTTAGGTTTCTAGTCAGGATCTACTTGAACTGAGCTGGTGATTGAAATTCATGTTGTTAAGGGAAGCATTTTGGCATGCTTCTTAGAGTGTGCTCTTTTGTATGGATTGGGACCAGGAATTAGACTTCTTCCTTCCACCAGCACCCAGTATGTTTGAAATTTTCACTGAAGTTTGCCAGCATTTTGCTCTTTTCCTGAATTTCAGGTTTTTCCCTGTGCACAATAAATCTACATAATTTAGTTTACATTCATTGTGTCTTTCTCAAAATGTCTCCGAAGCACTTGGTGCTTGTCAACCGTTCACTCAAAATAGCACCTTTCAGTCACGTGAACCCAAGGAATGGCAACAAATGAAATTATCCTGTTGCTGTTACGGAATTGGAAAAAAGACCTCTTATATCAGAGCTGCCAGTTGCCTATAAAAAGTTGACCTGCGTGCTCACAGAACATCTCTATTGGTGAGAGGAAAAACCAAGTGGTAGTAGCATATTGGAAGCAGGACGATCCATATTATAGGAAGAATCAATTGCTGGGATGAAGCTCGCATTGAATGAGGGAAGAATGGTGAAGACAAGGCCTGAATGGTCAGGGTGTCCCCAGATCGTCAGAGGACCAATGATTGCATTACGGTCCACATAGGTCATTTCCAGACAGCGAATGAGACAGCCTCTCGAATGATTGTGAAGGGTCCTTAATGAGCATAATAGGAAGTGATGCAATAAAGCCCAGTTGTTTACGGGGGGAGCGCAGCAGGGCGCCTTCGGATTGGGAATTACTCTCAGATTATCCGCTTGAATTGGGACTTATTGGCCGTATTACCCCTGACGCCCCGATGGGATTTCATCTCTTTTTCATTGTCTCTTTCCCATAGACACATCCTCTATCTCACTCCGTGGGGCCCCCATTATGAGAGCCGATCCCAATATTCTTTCATATCACTCTTTTCATCCCTCGTTTAAGGTTTTCGAATTGAGCTCTCCTTCCCTCAACTCAATCCAAAACGCGGGGTAGCTCTCATCGTTGCAATGAGAATGAACTACTGAAAATGCCGAGATTGGTGGAAAACGCTTCAGACTTGAAAGGGAAGTAAGATGGGAATTAAGATAGACTCCGTGGACAGATAGCTTTACACCATCTCTAAAATTTTTTGCTCGTGATTTCTTGGTGATTGTTCTACGAGAGGGAAAAAACCCATCGAGGCGTTCTATTTCCGTTCCCAATCTGCGAGTACATTTTTGCAGTGTTCCTAAAAAAAATATTTCAAAGATCATTTGATAGCGCAAGGAAGTTTCGTGACACGCCGATTGGTCTTTCGAGAGTTTGGCGGCTGTCAACAGTGGCGCTATACTTCTAAGTAAATTTGTCGAAATTGAGATAGGTCACGATGTAGGCCCATGAAGTCTGCCTTCCGAGGACTCGAAATGGCTATAAATTAAGGTTATACCGATGGCCGATTACGTCCTACCTATCGGTCCGTGACGGTGCCGATGCTAATCTCTCATTTGGACAATGCAGAGGGCTTCGATACGGAATTTTTTCGTTCCGTTTCACCTAATCCCGAGAAATTTCGCACAAACAATAAATTATTTTCTTTCCAACCCATGATAAGCCAGAATATTCTCGCGATTGGGAAAGAAAAAATGGTCAAGGTACTTAACGGAACAGAACAAACTTATATTTTTGGGAGCAATAAATTTTATTTCTTCCCGTTCCGAAGCCCTTCATGTAAAGAAACAACAAACCATTATATCAAATATCTATTAAAATAGATATCTATTCAAATTAGTAAAGCATGTTCAATTTTTATTTTGGAATATCACGCTGGGTGTTTCGAAAACATCGATGTATCGACTTGAAATATCGACAATGCGTCGATGCATCTGACGTTTGGGGGGGAGAGGGGGAGGGAGTGTTGGCGGATTCAGTATTTTCTCGCTGCGTTAGGGAGGATGTTTGACTTCCGTCGTTTCTTGCCTCGATCGGGGCGCAGACTTCTATCTTCCATAATCTCTTGCTTGTGATCGGGGAGTTGCGGAGGGAGGTGTGACCTTTGCTACGGGCGATGAAGCCTTCGATGCTTCCAACTATCGGAAATTACATCCATTCATCGATGGACGCATCTGGACAGCCCTAATTTTTTCATATTGCCGTTGAGAAGCAAATACTAAGCTCCGTTCACGTAATTATTTTTATTTTTCTTCATTCTGCACGTTCTTCTTTGGACATCGGCATCGGCAACTTGCGAACCTGCCGATGGCCCATGGCGCCATACCGGCGGTCGATATCGATGGTTGCCAATACATCGGTAAAGCCTTACTCTGAATGCATTCGAAAATCTTATCCATGCATCCATAAGTCAGTTTCCCCGCAATTGAAAGTGACTCAGACTCCATATAGTTGGCCTTTCGAGACGACATTCCTTCGAATCGTCCAAAAATAAGTCTGACGAATTTATTGTCAATTCAGGAAATACTCTCCCTTCATTCGTTTCCATTACTTCAAATTACAGCATTCCATTGAGCGGAATAGATGTGAGGGATCTGAGGCCAAGAGAAAAGAAGGGCTGGGAAGTGAGGTCAGGCTAACGAAAGCAACTTAGAGCTTTTGACAGCGTCACCTAGTGCATCACAGCACAACTAAAATAAACAAAAACAATGCCCAATTCCTGCGGTATCAAATGCTGTCACTGTGAAGGGCGTCATTGTTAGCTTATAATTCACACAACTCGATATAGGGTGACAGACTGACACCTACTCTCAGTTGACCCAACGCATGAGTGACGATCACTTTGGGATTTTTGAGGCCTGGAACTTCTAACCGCCTAACTTTGCCATCTCAGTTTAAAATCCCACCTGGAATATTCCAGCTGGACAAAATCTGTAAATTCGGACCATTTCCAGCTGGAAAAGAGCTGGAAAATAGTAGGTACCAGTTGTTTCTTAGCTGGAATTTTCCAACTGGAATGCAGCTGATTCGAATAGCTGTTTCCAGTTGAAAATTTTCCAGTTGAATTTTATCAAGAGGACCCTACAGCCGGAACGTAGCTAAATTTACAGTTGAAAATCAGCTGTTCCTGTAGATGGACCTCTGACAAAAATAGTCGACGAAAAGATTCTCATTCAGTTAGTGATATAGCAATTAGGAAGAAATCTGGAGATGACTACTTTCCTGCTGTTACCCAGTTGGAATGGGTCCGAATTTCCAGCCGGAGTCCAGCTGGAAATTATAGCTGTTTCTAGCCGGAATTTTAAACTGGGATTGCACTGCAACGAGACAGCCAATTTTAATTCTTATATCACCAACGAAATGCGGGAATTTCAAAGTTCAGTTGGCTTACACCAAACTTCATGTGCATTTTAGGGTCAGTATTGGCCAGGCTTCATTTGCGGATTGAGCTCTCGAAAGGAAACTTTTGTCTTTCGATCCTTCACATTTTCCACCTAAGTATCCCATGCCTTTCGCTCGATGGTGTTTGATAAGGATTTATGAATTCATTTGCATATTAATGTTATCTTGATATTTAAGAAATAACCAAGGAAAGCCCTCCAACTCCTATCGGCACCAATGAGCAAATTGTACATGGTGTTCACGAATTGACTTTTTCTATATTGAATCTGAAGTAACCACGGATCGGAGAATTTAATTCTGTCCCTCCAAAGACGAAGGAAGAACGGTATGGCATCATACTCGCGTCTAAAAATAGGCAATCTATGCACGTAAAATAAATACTTGCTTCTGATTCAATCATTCAAAAGTTACCCACGGATATTCACATAACGGATACCCTGTATAAAGAATTCCCATAATCCTTCCCGACATTTGGAACATCTGACACTCGGATGAATCTCGCCCAAGCCCGGGAGTGCCCATTCCTTTCAGACAGCGAGAAAATCGTCCTTGTCCTTTCCGCGTTGTTTACCTCCGGTTTGTAAC